GTAATTTTTGCCATGAGAATATTTTTACTTTGATGTGATCTAATTTACCAATTTTTTAAGTCTTCTGATTTTCAAGTCATAGTTGGAAAGGCCTTCCTCATCCCAAGATTATAAAGGAATTCTCCCTTTCTCACTTAAATTGTTTCATTTTCACAAGTAACTAAATGAAAAAACAGTAGAGTAGTTAAGATCACAAACTCTAGAGCCAAATAGCCCACATTCATGTCCCAGCTGCATCACTTACTAGCTATATGACCTTGGATAAGTCACCTAACCCATATGGGCCTCAGTTTCCACATCAACAAATGGGGTTAATAATAATTACTACCCCAGGGGGTTACTGTGAGGATTAAATGTCTTAGTAAATGTAAAGTAATTACTAGAGTGCCTGACCTACAGCACACATCCAATAAGCATGAGCTATTATCATCAAATATCTGTTTGGGAACTTATTCTGGTTTATGAGGTAAAGTACAGATCCAACTTTTTCTTTTTCCATATGGCTACCCAGTTGTCCCATAACCATTTATTATTGAATGCTCCATCTTTTCCCCACTGATTTGAGATATCACCTTTATGATATCCTACATTTCCATATATATTTAAGAATTTCTGATCTTTCTATCCTATCCCATTGACCTACCTATTCATGGACCAGTATCACATTGTTTGAGTTATTAAGCTTCACTTTTACTATGTGGTAGGACCAGCTGCCCCTCTTTGCTCTTCTTTGACAGTTACTGTATGTAACTCTTCCTGGTTATTTTTCCATATGAATTCTTTTAATTAAAGTGTCTGGTTCTAGAATAAAACAAAAAAAATTAGTACTTTTATTAAAACCATGTTCCTTTAGGGGCGCCTGGGTGGCTCAGCCGGTTAAGCGTCTGCCTTCAGCTCAGGTCATGATCCCAGGGTCCTGCAATCAAGCCCCACATCGGGCTCCCTGCTCAGCCGGAAGCCTGCTTCTCCCTTCCCCACTCCCCTTGCTTGTGTTCCTGCTCTCACTGTGCTCTCTCTGTCAAATAAATAAAATCTTTAAATAAAAATAAATAAATAAATAAAAACATGTTCCTTTATAAATTAACTTATAGGGAGAACTTATGTTTCCTGTTCACTCCTCTTATCCAAGAACCTGGTATGTGTTACCATTTGTGCAAGTCTTCTTTTGTGTCCTTCAGTAGCATTTGAAAGTTTTCTTCACATAGGTCTTGCATATTTCTTGCCAAGTTTATACATAAATTTTATCTTTTTTGGTTGCTGTTATAAATGGGGTGTGTTCTTCCATTACATTTTCTAACAAGTTGTTTGCATAGAGTAAAGCTACTGGTTGTTGTCTAGTAAGTAGATACCTTACTATTAATTCTCTTGTATTCTCCAGGTATATAATCTCCCGATCTGCAAACTAGTGGCAGTTTTACCTTCTCTTTTCCAATTTGTACATCTCTAATTGCCTTCTCCTATCTGACTACATTAGCTATCACTTACAAAACAATGTTAAATAATAACCAATTACCCAGAATAGGCCTAGTCATGCTTTGATCCACTTTAGGCAGCCTTGGAAAAGCTTCACATTAAAGAAGTTTGAAGGTTTGAATCTTATCTTCTTGCAAAGTAGAAATCTAAGCCACAAGTTATAAAAAGATGAAAATTTTCTCAATACCAAAAAAAAATAATAATCCAATTTTAAATCGGACATAAGACATGAATAGACATTTCTCCAAAGAGACATATGAAAAGATGCTCAACATCCCTCATTGTCAGGGAAGTGCAAATCAAAACCACAATGAGATACTACCTCACATCTGTTAGAACAGCTAAAATCAAAAACAAGAAACAACAAGTGTTGATGAAGATGTGAAGTAAAAGGAACCCTCATGTACTGTTGGTGGGAATGCAAAGTGGTGCAGCCACCGTGGAAAACAGTATGGAGATTCCTCAAAAAATTAGAAATAGGGGCACCTGGGTGGCTTAATTGGTTAAGCATCCGACTCTTGATTTTGGCTCAGGTCATGATCTCAGGGTTGGGAGTAGTAGGAGTGCCCTGTAAAATTGTCTGAACATGATGCTTTGAGAGGAGGCAACTCTTGGATGACTTTATTTCTTCTAGAAAAATCATTCTGTTAAGATTTCCTAAAAAGAACAGGATCTTTCTGGTATCAATTTGGGTCAATTATATTTGCCTAAAAATTATCTATTCCATCCAAGTTTTCAAATTTATTTTCAAAGAGTTAGTATCTTATAATTCTTTAAGTTTTCTACTTCTATTTACTCCCCCCTTTTCAGTTCTTATTTTATGTATTTGTACTTTCTTCCTTTTTTTTTAGATAGTTTATAAATTTTATTGTTACAGTTCACTTGTTTTCCAAGGAGCCACCTTTTGGATTACTCATATTGTTCTACTGTTTTTCTATTTATACTTAAAGTTCTTAAAAGAGTACACTCTGAGCAGGTGTTCTACATCTCTTCCTCTTGCCAGGAAAAAAACAACAACAACAACACAGTAATACAGTGAACACTACCTAAGAATACAGGCCCAAGAAAGCAGAGATTAAATATGAGCTGTCAATGTTATCTTGAATGATATCTCCAAATCCCAAACACCTGACCAAAAAAACAGATTAGCAATATTTCCAAAATGCAAAAAAAAAAAAAAAAGGTGCCATACAAAATAAAAACTGGGCTTTTACAGTAATTAATTCACTAGAAATAAGATTAGTTCTAACTATAATAAACTTACATTTTAACAACATAGGTTCTCAGTATAAGCCTTCCACCTCCTGCCTATCTCTAGCAATTAACTGCCCACCAATTCAGTTCAACAAGCATGAATTCCACTTTTCCCCCAGTCCCAAAGTTCTCTGAGTATTGCTTTACAGCCAGGCACTGAAACAGAGAGAGACCACCTCCACATATAAGATCAGGCAAACTGCTTGTATGCCCTGCCAGCCAGCCGGTGCTGTCCAGGACCCCCCACTAACTTGAACAGGGTGTGCTTCAAATGAGTCAGTCCAGTTCAAGTTTAGTCGTGACCAGTCACCCAAAATAGGACTATTTATCTTTTCATCCACTACAGGTAGCCTGGGAGAAATTTAACACTACAGAAGTTTGAAGGACTGAATCTTACCCTCTTGCAAAGTAGTAATCTACTACTTGGCCACAGTTTATAAAAGGGTGTAAGTTTCCTTATGAATACCAAAAAAAGGTAGGATTAAATCTAAAATGATAACTCTTCACACCTAAAGTATTTGGTAATAGAGCACAAAGACAGAGCCTAGTACTAGGCTGAACCAAAGACACTAAACAGGCCTTATCTTCTAAAATCAAAAGGTGATGCTTCTGTCACAGAACTTTTGAAAGTCAGGGTACAATTAACAACAGGCAGAGATAATAAGGAGGAGTGAAGGGCTACTAAACAGATTGGAGGTTGGGATAGAGATGAATTTGACTTTCAAAACAATAATACTTAAGTCCATAAGCTTCAAGCTTACAGCCACCAAAACCTACCAAGGAGGTAATACTGCCCATTTCTGGGCCAGTCAGAACCTTCGGCAACCTGTCAAGGGAGGAGTTGTACCAGGAGTGGGGACTGGAAAGGCCACAATCTAAAACTTAAATATTTGGGCAGGAAAAGAGTTAAAACAGCTGAGCAATAGGACATATGCACTGCACATGCACATGCATTGTAGGCTTGGCCCTACACCAAAAAAAGCAGTTTACTGGTCCAGATACAGAGATGTATGCATGGCTACATAAAAAGACCGAAGAGCCTGGAAGAGAACCAAACCCTGAGGTTTTCCATTAGAGTTACTAGGTGGATGCGACAAATAAATCATTGGCTCGTTTCTGTCATATTGGTTAATCTTTTACCAAAAATGTCATTTATTTATCAGGTAAGTGATTGAGAAGACTTTGGTTAAGATTAAGCAGAATTAGGGGCACCTGGGTGGCTCAGTCCTTAAGCGTCTGCCTTCGGCTCAGGTCATGATCCCAGGGTCCTGGGATGGAGCCCAGCACTGGGGCTCCCTGCTCAGCGGGAAGCCTGCTTCTCCCTCTCCCACTCCCCCTGCTTCTGTTCCTTCTCTTGCTGTGTCTCTCTTTGTCAAATAAATAAATAAATCTTAAAAAAAAAAAAAAGATTAAGCAGAACTAAATTTTGGTCAAAGTTGATCTTGCACCAGTTTGCAAATCTGATCAAGATTGTGTTCAAAAAAAAAAAGATTTTTGTGTTCATTTATTGTTTTTTAGATGTCTGGGAGGGCATACCAAAGAGACTGTATTGTGTAAAGAGGAAGTTTAGTACAAGCTGGGGGTGTTCAGCATTGAAAAAGCACTGCCTTTAAGTATCCATTTATGAATACTGGTTTGTAAAAGAGAATTTATTTTTAAAATGAAGTTTAAAACTCATTCTCTGAATTTGAGTCAAAAATAAAACTTTTAGGGCTGACCATGAGGTGGAGTTGAAGTGAGGGGGGCATAGGAAGCAGAACTGCTAATGCAGATGGAGAAACAAGTTACACAGCGTCAGTTTCCAAACTGCCCCACATTCAAAAAACCTCTATCTTTTCCAGTCTCATACTGATGTATGATATGCACACCCTCACTATGACCTCCTCCTATAATTCAATAATTCTTTAAGGAAAAGAAAAACAGAATTCCCAGGAATTTTTAAATGCAGGCTTTATCTTGGCATCGAGCCATATGTAAAAGACTAATCACCATATAATCCTCCAACAGCTCTAAAGCAGTGGTTTACAAACTATGGAGTGTATTAGAATCACCCAAAGAGTTTGTTTAAAACACTAATCGTAGGGACCACGCTTTAAGAAGCACTGCACCAAGATAATGGCAATGGTCCTTGGTTGGTGGACCTGGGCTGTCTGCGAACCGCTACCAGTCTGCGACAGAAACTGAGGTTTAAGCTTTATGCAAATAACTTTTAGAGTAGTTTAACATTACTGGGCACCCAACCATGTGATCATTTTTCTGGCTTTTTTTTTTTTTTACTGTATTTTCCGAAAGTTTTGGTATGAGATTAGAAAATTATTTTTAAGTTTGTAAAGCACAACTTTAAAGCGACACCTCCGACTACTGATAGCGGCAGACCCGCGAGCACGGGGCCAGAGGCAGCGCCTGCCAATTGGGAGAAACCGGGCACTCAGGGAGGATAATGGAAGCCTGAGGATAATTCTTGCAATCGGTACAGTGGTCTGAGATACAATTTCAAAACTGCAGTTTTCATCGTTCTGTATCATTCCATTGCTTCCAGTGACAACACAACACGGCACCATCGCTGAAAGTGGCCAGTATCCCAGCGGACCGTACACAAGAGAAAGAAAGAGGGAGGCACAGACGCCGGCACTGAGAGCGCACACACCTGTGAGAAAGAGCGGAAATCGGGTCAGCGCTTTTCCTACCCAAAGTTTGGAGCCGCTGAGGTATTTGCACTCTAGGTGAGTTATACCAACATACTACATTCCATCAAAGTGCTTCGTGCTGTCTTAGGGGGTGAGAAGCCAAACAAAGAAAAAGCTACGACCCCTCCCCACGCCCCCGGGTCGGAGCTTCTCCGCGCCTGCGCAGACCCCAGCCTAACTATCCACCCGAGGTCGGCCCTCGGCTCTCTTCCCGGCGGGCGGAGGACGCGCAGCCACCGGGCGCTGATGCGCATGCGCCAAGATAATAACAGTGCCTTCTGCGCGTGCCCGCGTCCTTACCCGTAACGGGGATCGGCTCCTTCCGGCCCGGCAAGGCCTCCTGGGGGCTGACGGTCTTAGAGGCGGAGTCGCCCATTCTCGAAACGGGAAAGCGGATGGGGAAGAGCTGGCTAGCCCGCCTGGTAGCTGAGAGCATGGGCGGGCGGCTGGCCGACGGGCCGCCAAACGGAACGGCGCGGTCGAGAGCGGAGCCGCCACTGCGGAGTGGGCAGCTGGCGCCGGGCAGCGGGACCGGCGTGCACTGGGCCGCGCTGCGGGCGGAGGTCCGCTGAGGCCCTCGTGCGCTGCTGGCTGTGGCCACTGCCGCCTCGGAATAGAGGTTACCTAAGGCTCGGGCCAGACCGGCAGTAACTGAGGGCGTGTTCTCGCCCAGGGGTGGGAGGGGAGACGGCGGGGGGGTGCCTGGTCCTAGGAGGCACCAGCGAGTCTTTCTGGTTCGGTTTCACTACAGAGTTCCCAGGCAGAGAGCAAATGTACTAATTGCGATACGAAAGTACGTGAAGCGGCAGAGGCCAATAATAATAATGCCTAGCCTTTGATTTTAAAGTTCGTACCCTCCTTAAAAACCTTAGCAGTTGTTCAGTGTGCCCAATAAGATATAAGACAACCTACTTTACAGGCAACTAGAATGTATGAGTATTTCCACTGCAGCCATTATAATGATAAATTATCAAAAAGATGAGTATCCAAAATAAAAACTAAGCACAATTTTCGAAAAGCTCAGAATAGGGAAGATAATTCAAAATAATGTTTTATGTATATATACACACATACATATATACACTGATAAACCCATTTTGCAGGGTGGAAAATAATCAAAGCACTAATACCACCATTAGCCCAGTTTATATGCATTTAATGGTGCTGTTGGATCAGTCTTGTTTCTCAAATCGTGGGAGATAACATTTGTTCCTGTGACAAATTTTCAACCCGAAAAATAAGGTGGGTGGGGCCAGATGGGTGACTTGGGAGTTCCATATGTGAAATTTTGGTTTCACACAAATGTTCTGCCGGAATGGGCAAATAGTCTCATGAGGGAAGGAATTTAAGATTAGCACCCATAGAAATGAAGAGTTTGACCGGACCTCCTCCAGGAGTGAGTTGCCCTTTTGTTTTAAGGTGGTCTGGACTGTAATAGGACAGAAGGATGGCTCTACTATATTGTAGAATATGGTCAGACATGTAACATTAAAGTTTTTATTTTGTAATTTTAGATTTCCTCTGGGCAATTTGCCTCAGTTTTTACTTTTGATTTATTTGTTTTTGCTGTGCGATTATGCAAAGTAGTTTCTACAGGCCTCTCCTGAAAACACTCCAAGGTGTCCCTTCTACACTTGGTCACTGCTAAGCGCTTGAAAAAATAAGCTTTTCTGTCAGAGGAAATATTCTGTGTGTGTGTGTGTTTTTTTAATTATTGCCTTTTGATACATACTGATTTTCTATGTTTTATGGTTAATTGTATGAAATTAAACAACAGCAACTAAGAACTGAAGAATTTTTCACCTCACTAAGTACTTATATAATATTAAGTGAAAAAGCACAACAGAGCTACAGTATGTATATATATGTACTATGTAGTATAGATAAAAATATATGTATCTCCACTTGTGCACCCACTGAAGAAAGACCAGGAAAAAAATGGTTGCAGTTTTGTTGTTCAAAGTAATGATCTACTGATTTTCAACTTTCTTAAAATGTTCTACATTGTTACAGTGTTCTCAAGTGTTCCAATGCCTATGTTATTTATAAACAAAAATAGTTTTAAAGGAAAAGTACCTTGGTTTATTTCAAAGCTTTTTTTTTTTTCATAAAGCAGTGGTTTCTTATCTCATTTACCAGAATAGTTAGTTGCAAGAAAAGTTACACTGAGGTTGGTTGGTTGGTTTGTTTAAGGAGAAAATAAAATATTCCTGCCTTCAGTGATGCCATTTTCACCACTAGGACTTCCTTTTCTTCAGACCCTCCTAATCCCTTCTGAGCTCCAAACTGAGAGTCTTTTTTTTTTGTCCATATTCCCCATTGGGCACACACTGCTTTGATTTGTTATTTTTGTGATTAGTCACTGGTTTTTCAACAAATTCTAACAATGTATGTTGTTTAGGATGCAGTGTAAGCATCCTCTTAGATATGAAAAAGACCAAAAATACAGCAGTTTAAACAAAATAGAAGTTTCTCTTACATATAATCTGAAAGTAGGTAGTTAAGTGCTGATAGGACCATGTCATTTCTTCCATAGTATCTCATACTGAATTGGCTTACATTAAGTTTCCTGTGGTTAGTATTGGTTTAATTTGGCCAAAACCCTTACTTACATTAGCAAAAGTTTCTTTTCCATTTGTTCAAGAATGGCTCCACCTTGGCCTTTGGAGACAAGAATACTTATGTAATACTCTATTCCAAATCTAGGTCTAGGGTTTTTTGTTTTGTTTTGTTTTTTTAAGATTTTATTTATTTATTTGACAGAGAGAGACACAGCGAGAGCAGGAACACAAGCAGGTGGAGTGGTAGAGGGAGAAGCAGGCTTCCCGCGGAGCAGGGAGCCCGATGCGGGACTCGATCCCAGGATTCCGGGATCATGACCTGAGCCAAAGGCAGACGCTCAACGACTGAGCCACCCAGGCGCCCCCTAGGCCTAAGTTTTAGTTGGGATACAGATAAGGTTGCTTTAACAGAGACCCAAAGATACTGTATATGAAACAAGATAGTGTGGGTTTTTTTGTTTGTTTTTTTAAAGATTTTATTTATTTATTTGAGAGAGAATGAGAGACAGCATGAGAGGGAGGAGGGTCTGAGGGAGCAGCAGACTCCCTGCCGAGCAGGGAGCCTGATGCGGGACTCGATCCCGGGACTCCAGGATCATGACCTGAGCCGAAGGCAGTCGCTTAACCAACTGAGCCACCCAGGTGCCCCGATAGTGTGTTTTTTTTTTAATTGAAGCATAGTTGACACACAGTGTTACATTAGTTTCAGATCTACCACATAGTGATTCAACAAATCTATAGTTAAGCTCACTGCAAGTGTAGCTACCATCTGTCACCATACAACGCTTTACAATACCATTGACTATATTTCTCATGTTTTGTCTTTTATTCCTGTGACTTATGCACTCCATTCCTAGAAGTCTGTACCTCCCACTCCCCTTCACCCATTTTACCCATCCCCCGGCTTCCTCCTCTCACAACCATCAGTTTGTTCTCTGTATTTATGTGTCTGTGAAACAAGATAGTTTTGTTTTTTTCTCTCCTATGCTGGTCCAGAGGTCAGTGGTCAGGAATGGTAGGTCAGTGCTGCTATCCTCATACATAACCTCCATCCCAGAACCTGCCATCACATCTGTATCTTAGCCCTGCCAAAAGGCAGAAAGGAAAGGGGTGTACATCTCAGTACTCCTGGGAGTGAGTCCCAGATGTTGCACTACTCACTCATTCCATTGACCTGATTAGAGACATAACTACATCTAACTGGAAGGTGGGAGATAAAGTTCTCTAGCTGGGCAACCAATGGATCCAGCTAATACTCAGCAGTTCTAGTAATAAAGGAAGGTGAGAATGTACATTGGTGGACAACTTTGTCACAGTCCACACCTCTGGTCACCCAGATATTTATATATGCCCATCTTCTAACAGAACATACCCTATTCCAAAGGGAGAAAAAGCCAAAGTTCCAAGTAGTTATTGCATCCAGCTCTTAAGTCCATGATATGAAGATGATATACAGTCCTTTTCAAGTCTGAATATAACTCCTCATGACCCAGTGACCTACTAACTAAAAGATGAGGTATCTTCCCCCCGCACACACACACCCTCCCCCACATACCTGGTGAGGTAGGAATATGAAAAATTATTTGGAAAAAGAATGGAGGGGAAGTAGTCACTGGTCCATAGCCTAGCAAAATGTTGCAAAAAGGAAACTTTAAAGATTGCTCAGGGGCACCTGGGTGGCTCAGTCGTTAAGCGTCTGCCTTCAGCTCAGGTCATGATCCCAGGGTCCTGGGATCCAGCCCCACATGAGGCTCCCCGCTCAGCAGGAAGCCTGCTTCTCCCTCTCCCACTCCCCCTGCTTCTATTCCTGCGCTCGCTATTTCTTTCTCTGTCAAATAAATAAAATCTTTTTAAAAAATTTTAAAAAAGATTGCCCAAGTGGTAAGTAAATTCTTAGTTGGACCCCATTTCTGCTTTCCAAAAGGAATTCCTCTGTTGTTGCATTTGAAGTTACTGGCTTTACCCTCTGGGAGGTTCTTATCCATGATCCTCCATGATTGCATCTGAAGAGTATATTGACAAGTATGCCTTCCTGGGAGGATACACATCTTTTTGTGCCCAGTTTCTTACTGGTGCAGTTCTGAGGGACTTCAGGGTCAAATGCACACAGGTATTGGCAAGCTAGACTGTAGCTTTTTGTCAACTCCATTTGAAAAGTTATTGAACATATTTCTGGTTCATTTGTTCCTTTTACAATACTTGTACAAATAACCTCAGCTAAAGATCTCAACTAGTCATATTTCTTATGCCTAATTACTCTTCATTTTTATTTACTAGGCTCTGTTTGTCCCATCTATCCTTTATCTATTAACTTAATTACAGTGCCCTTGCAGCCAGCAAAAACAGCAGGTTTGGTTGGAAAGGCAATCCCCTTAATAGAATCTTCACTGCTTGCCTTCCATGCTTGGCTTCCATCATCTGGCAGACAACACTTTGCTAATGGCCCTTGAGAAGTTTTGGGTCGCAGTTTTATCTTCTGCTATTGGGAGTATAATAGCTTTTGGCTTTATCAAAACTAGAAGGCCCTAAATAACCACCTTCAGTCAATTTGTATTGCAGACTTCAGGCAGAGAATTTCAATCTTAGCAGAGCTTTATTTCCCTTCATCTCTTAAAATGGCCAGCTTCTATCTGAGTTCATCTTTCTCAAAGGATTTTCCTGAAGGAGGCAGGCAACAGACAATACTCTCTCATTGGTCAGAGAATCATCCCTACAGTTTTTCTGTACCATTTTCCCTACAGTTACAGATTCAAAGAGCATGTGGTTGGCCTTCCAAGATATTGAGTTGACAATTTTATCAAATGTTTTACAGCAGCATAAAAAGGATCACCAGCTTTTCAGCCTGTAATATCTGTGTCCTTGTTGTCTGCTGCCTGTCATTAAACTAATGCCATATAGTTTAGACTAATGTTATGAAGTCTACAGAAAAACTGCTAGAACTAATATGTTGATTTAGCAACACTTTAGGAAACTAGACCTATATACAAAAATCTATTGTTACTATATTTGAGAGAAAAAATGGAAATTGAAGTTTTTAAAACATTTAAAATAGCATCCAAAAAT